CCAGTGGACCTTTTATAGCTACACCCACTTTCCTCTCTCTCCCTATCCCATTCCTGATCCCCATTCCTGGCAACCACAGATATGTTCTCCATTTCTATAATTTTGTCATTTCAAGAATGTTATATAATTGGAATCATACAGTATGTAACCTTTTGGGTTTTTTTCCCCCACTCAGAATAATTCCCTGGAGATTCATCTAAATTGTGGAGCATATCAAAAGGTCATTCTTTTTTTATTGCTGAGCCATATTTGAAGGTATGTATGTACTAGAGTTTGTTTATTTATCCACTCATTGAAGGACATGAGGGTTGTTTCCAGTTTGGGGCAATTATAAATAAAACTGTCTGAACATGTGCATATAGGTTTTTCTGTTAACATCAAATTTCACTTTTCTCTGATAAATACCCAATACTGCAGTCACAGGGTCTTTCAGTGGTTGCATGTTTAATGTCCTAAGAAACTGGCAACCTGTTTTCCACTGTGGCTCTACCATTTTATATTCCCACCAACAATATGTATGAGTGATCCAGTTTCTCTGCAACTGGTGTTATCACAGTTTTTTTAAAAAATCATTTTAGTCATTTTATTTTGTGGATGTCCAATTGCTCCAGCATCATTTGTTGAAATAATTTGTTTGTCCCTTTCTCCAGCGAATTGCTTTTGTGCCTTTGTAACAAATCAGTTGGGCATATGTGTATGGGTCTATTTCTGGATTCTCTATTCTGTTCCTTTGATCTATGTGTCCATCCGTCTCTAATACCACACTGTCTTTATTATTGTAGCAAGCCTTAACATTGAGTATAGTGATTCTTCCCACTTTATTCTTCTTTTTTTCAAAATTATTTGAGCTATTCTAGGTACTGTGTCTTTCCATATACATTTTAGAATAAACTTGTCTATAAAACACTTGCTGGGAATTTTGACAGGAATTGCATTAAACCTATTTTAATATGTTGAATTTTCCATTTCTGAACATAGTACATTTCTCCGTTTATTTAGGTCTTCTTTAATTTCTTTCGTCGGTACTTTAAAATTTTAAGGATATATCCTGTGCATGTTTTGCTAGAGCTACATCTAAATATCTTGTTTTCTTTGGAATGATTGTAAGTGGTACTGTATTTTTAACTTCCATTTCTATATATGATCATTATTGGGATATCAAAATGTAATTGTTTTTTGTTTATTGATCTTATGTCCTATGACCTCGCTTAACATACTTATTAGTTCAAGAAGTTTGTTGTTTATTTTTTGTTTTTAGATTATTTGGGATTTTTACATAGACAATCATATCATTGCAAATAGGAACGTTTTGATTTTTTTCTTTTCAGTCTATATGCTTTTATTTCTTTTTCTTCCCTTCCTGCAGTGGCTAGAAATTCCAGTACTGCAGTAATCGGCAGTGGTAAGAGCAGGCATCTTTATCTTGTTCCTGATCTTAAAGAGAAAGTGTTAATATTCCACCATTAAGTAAGATGTTAGCTGTAGGCTTTTTACAGATGTTCTTTATTGAGTTGAGGAAGTTCTTTATTTATAGTTTTTGAGAGTTTTATCATGAATGGGTGCTGTATTTTGTCAAATGCTTTTTCTATATGTATCGTTATAGTCATGTGTTGTTTTTTCAAGCAGATTGAAATGGTGGAATTGAAATTGAGTGATTTTTGAATGTTGAACCAACTTTGCATACTTAGGATAAATCATATTTGGCCTTGATGCATAATTATTTTTGTACATTGTTGGGTTCAATTTGCTAATATTTTGTTAAGAATTTGTGTGCTTATGAGAAATATTGGTTTGTAGTATTCTTTTCTTGTAATGTCTTTGTCTGGTTTTTATCTGAGGGTAATACCAACTTCATAAAATAAATTGGTAAATATGCCTTCCTCTTTGATTTTTTTTAGAAAAGATTGGTAAAATTGGTGCCAATTAGAAAAATTGGTAGGATTCTCCCGTGAAACCCTATGCATCTGGATATTTCTTTCTTAGGAGCTTCTAAATTCTATTTCTTTAGTGGTTATAGGACTATTTGAATTATCTATTTCACCTTGGTTAAGCTTTGGCAGTTTGTGTTTTTAAAAGAATTAGTCCATTTCTTCTAAGTAGTTGAATTTATGAGCATAAAGTTGCTTTTAGTATTTCATATCTGACTGGTGATTGGTCTTCTCTTTATCTTTGTCTGTCTTGTTAGAGGTTTATCTTAAAAAATTTTTCAAACAACTAGCCTTTTGTTTCATTGATTTTTCTCTATTTTTAAATTGATTTTTGCTTTTATCTTTATTATTTCCTTTCTTTGGCTCGTTTTGGGTTTATTTTGCTCTTCTTTTCTTAGTTTCTTCAAATGGATGCTTAAATTATTGGTCTGAAACTCTTTTTTTCTAATGTAAGCCTCTAGTATTATAAATTTCCTTCTCATTTCCTCCATATCTTGATATGTGATATTTTCAGTTTAATTCAGCTTTCTCTTTATATATACACATATTTAAAATTTTCCTTTGAGACTTCTTATTTGATGCATGGATTATTTAGAGTGTGCTATTTACTCTCCAAGTATTTTGCAGGTTTCCTGTTATCTCTTTACTATTGATCTCTGATGTGATTCCATTCTGTCAGGACATATTTGTCCTGACCTCAGTTCTTTTAAATTTGCTGAGGTTTATCCTATGGTCCAGGATATGGTTTACCTTGGTAAACATACTGTATGTGCTTACAAATAATGTGTATTTTGCTATTGTTACGTGGAGTGGCCCACCTTTATATTTTCAGTCTACTAGGGTCTTCGTATATGAAGTGAATTTCTTGTAGACAGCCTATGGTTGTATCATCTTTTTAATTTACTCTGTCAGTCTCTGTTTATTGGTATATTTACATTAGTTGGTGATTTGCTTTTTTATCACCTGCGCTCTGTATTTCTTATTCCTTTATTTGTCTTTTCTTGGTTTCTCATGGATGATGTGAACATTTTTATTTTTTTTTTAAGTAGGCTTCATCCTGAGCATGGGGCCCAACATGGGCCTTGAACTCTTGACCCTGAGATTAATAACTGAACTGAGATCAAGAGTCAGATGCCTAAGGGAAGGGAGAAGAAATGTGTGGGAGATATCAGAAAGGGACACAGAACATAAAGACTTCTAACTCTGGGAAATGAACTAGGGGTGGTGGAAGGGGAGGAGGGCGGGGGGTGGGGGTGAATGGGTGACGGGCACGGAGGGGGACACTTGACGGGATGAGCACTGGGTGTTATTCTGTATGTTGGTAAATTGAACACCAATAAAAATTAATTTATAAAAAAAAAAAAAAAGAGTCAGATGCCTGACTGATTGAGCCACCCAGGCACCCCTGTCTATTTAAATTTTTTTTTTATATTTAAAAATTTTTGAACAGAATTAGTTTTCAGAAGTTTAATTATGTCTTGGCATAGGTTTATTTGGGTTTACCCTAGTTGGAAAATGTTGGATCTGTAGGTTTATGTCTTTTAGCGTATTTGGGAAGTTTTCAGCCATTATTTATTCAAATATTTTTGCACTTCCTCTCTCCCCCTCCTCTATTCCTGGGACTCTAACAGTATGATGTTATGTCTTTTGTTATTGTCCTCTAGGTACCCTTCCTCCCCACCCCCAATCTATTCTCTCTGTTGTTAATATTGGGTAAATTCTATTGATCTAATTCTATTTTCCTTCATCCCCACTCTACTATTGAGCCCCTGAAGCAATCCAGTTATTGTCTTTTTCAGTTCTGTAATTTTCATTTGGTCCTTTAAAAAAAAAAACCTTTGATTTCATTTGCTGAGATATTTGCCTTTTCTTTTGTTTCAAGATAATTCATTATTATGTGTGAAACTTTTTTTTTTTTTTTTTTTTTTTGGTGATAGCTACTTTAAAAATTCCTGTCAGGTAATTCTGATACCTGATTTGTCTCAGTGTTGGGATCTGTATGTTATGTTTTCTCAGTGTTGTGATTTTCTTGGTTCTTGGTATGATGATTAATTTTCTTTCTTTCTTTTTAAGATTTATTTACTTATTTGAATGAAAGAGAGCACAAGCAGAGGAATCAGCAGGCAGAGGGAGAAGCAGGCTCTCCACTGAGCAGGAATTCCATGTGGGCTGGATCCTAGGACCCTAGGATCATGACCTGAGCTGAAGGCAGATGCTAAATTGACTGAACCACCCAGGCCCCTCTGATGGTTGATTTTCAATTATCTCTTGGATATTTTGGATATCTTAGAAGATGCTGGGTCCTGTTTAATATTTTTTCTTAAAGATTTATTTATTTGTTTGTTTATTTGTTTGTTTGTTTATTTATTTATTGGAAGGAGGAGAGAGAGAGAGAGAGAGAAGGGGGAGGGATTAAGAGAGAGAAGCCCAAGCTGCCTCCATGCTGAGTGCAGAGCCCAATATTGGGCTCAATCTCATGACCCCAAGATCATGATCTGAACAGAAATCAAAAGTTGGATGCTTAACCAACTGAGCCCCTAGTCTTTTTTTTTTTTTTAAATCAGGGAGTCCCTCTGTTTAGCACAGGGGCTGGGAGAGTGTTATGTTCTGCTTCCTACTGTGGTCTGGACAACAGCCACCCTGACAAAAGTGGGACACTGGCTTGTTGGCAGAGATGGGGTGGAAGTTCAGTTGCCCCTGAGCCTCACTGACACAGAAAAAGTGTGGCCCCAGCTTACACTGTCTTGTTGCTTCTGAGTGGAAGTTTAAGGTCAGCTCCCCACTGGGCTGCACAGCTACCATGGAGTTGGAGGGAAATGGACTGACCCATACCACTTTATTGCCACAGGATAGGTGTGGAAGTTCAGCCCCACCCTGGGCCCTGATAGCACGTGGGAAGGTGGTGCTGGAGTGCTGACTAGCCCTGCTTTGCACTGCCATTCAGTCTTACTGCTGCTGGGTGCATGTGGAGGTGCACTTTGCACCTGGGCCTTCCTGATACCTGGAATGGAAGGAAAGTGGAGGGATGACTAGCCCCAACTTGCAGGGCCTTTCTGAGTTGCATCGATGCCAGGTGTAGGTGGATGGAGGCTGAGCTCACTGCTGCACCTGGTTGATACCACCTTTTAGGAGAATCAGAATGCTGCCTGCTTCTGCCACACAGGGAATGGAATATTAGCTCTTTCCTCAGACTCACCATCGCTGCTGGCAGAAAAATCAGATTGTGCCTCTTACTTCCGTGGAGTGAGGGCGTGGGTGGAAGATCAATCCTTTTACCCCCTTATGTTTCTGCTCAAATTGCCAGGGCAAGGTGTGGTTTTTAAATTGGTGTTTGATTGGAGTAGGGTAAGTACTGCCAAAGTTTTCTGTTGTTAGATCATTTTTTGGTGGGGCGGGGGTCATTTGCCTAGAGAGAACAGGATTTTCTTGAAATTTTTATGGCTGTACCTGTTCATAGTTCTGGGATGGGAGCTTGCACAATACTCTGTCTAGAACATGTGGGAAGTAAGGAGGAAGCCCAGGAGACTTACCATAGGATTGATCAAATCTATGGGTTTCTAGGTAGTCTGTGTTCTTTCTACCCTTCAGAATCTTCTTATGCTTGTCTGTTGTATTATGTCCAGGGAGTTTTAATTGTAAGAAGGAGCAGGGAGAGTGGGACAACTCCATCTTCGTGGAGCTGGAAAACTGCATTGTTGTTTTGAAACAAGACAGCATTAGTGCAAACAAGTTCAGTCTCAGAAATCCTCCTCCAGAGTAATTTCTTATTGCTTGGCAAAATGACCTGTAAGGGGCATCAGCATTACATGAGCAAAATCTGAAAATACACATTCCTGTCAAATACACTGATAAATCTCAGCAGTAAATGTGAAAACAAGCTCAGAGTCACACATTACTCTAAAAAGGAAACTCTTATTTTGAGTTAGAACAAACAAGATAAATCCATGCAGTATTTGTGAAAACTAGCTGCAAGTCACACAGTGTTCTCAAAAGTTTTTATTGAAAGTTAAAACAGGTTAAAACAAATCCAACCAGTATTTGTGCAAACAAGTCCAAATTAAAATTAATCTAAGCAGGCTTTGGTATCTGAATATTAAGCCCGGACCTCTTAACTGGACCTGTATCTTGGGCATCATCCTGGTTCTTATGGACCTTGGACCTGGATTTAGACCTTTTTTTTTTTGGTCATGAGCTTGGGCCTTCAATCAGCATCTCTATCTTGGAACTGAACAGTAGATCCAGACCTCCAATTTGGACCTTGATCTGAACTTGGATGTGGAGTTTGGTTCTGTACCTTGAACCTGGGCATGGACTTTGGACTGGAACTTGGACTTTAGTCTCTAACTTGTAGTTGATTTCAGACTTGGACATCAGATCTGAAATGACACATGACTATGGATATGAATGTTGGACCAGGATTTCTGACATGAATGTCAACCTTGGATCTAGAGTTTGGACCTTGCTCCTGAACTTTGGTAATGGAATTTTGACTTTGTTCCTGAACCTCAGTCTTGGATATATTCCTCAGATCTAGGCCTCAAACCTGGGCCTGAACATCAAATGTAAACTTTATATCTTGGAGTTGGACCTAGAGCCTGTGCCTTACATATGAACCAGGACATGGACAATGGAACTTTGGCCTGAACTTCTGAACTTTGACATGGACTGTGATGGGTGTGGCTGTTGGACCAAGACTTTAGATCTCTATAATGGATTCTAGTCTTGGATCAGTAACTAAGACCTGGACCTGAGCTTTGTACTTGAAACATAGATCTAACCCTCAGACTTAGACCTTGGTCTTGGGCCAGGATCTGGAAAATGGATCCTGGACAAGGACCTGGTCCTTGGACCAGACCTTGGACCAGACTTCAGCCTTTGAACTGGATCCTGAATCTTAGTCCTTGGTGTAGCCCTTAGGTGTGGATTTGGGCCTCAGACAGGCATAGGATCTCAATTTTGGCTTTGGATTTTTCTAACATCTAGAACCTTAGATTTTGTTCTTGGTCATGGACCTGGATTTCAGACATGAATCTTGGACCATGACATTCACTTTGATCTTGGAGCTCAGGCCTAGACTTGTACATGATTCTTGACCTTGGAACTTGGACCTGGTACTCAATCCTGAACCAAGGTTGTGGGCCTAAACCTTGGACCTGGACCTTAGACCTCAACATTGGCCTGGTCCTGGATGTTGAACCTGCATTCTGATGTGGTTATGAATTAGACCTGAGAACTAGATTAAGACCTCGACCTTGGAACTGTAGCTTGGACCTTAGACCTGGACCTCTAAACTTTGGATGGATTTCAGACCTGGAATACAGACTTGGACCTGGAACTAACCTGGACACTGATTTTGGGCCTGGAATTTGGTCATGGATTTTTCCCAGTTCCTGGACCCACTCTTAGACCTGGAGCTTGAACTTAGATTTGGATCTTACACTTAGATATTAATCTAAACCTAGACAAGGACTTTGACCTTGTCCTTGACTCTCTTTTGTGAACCTACATTTGGGACTGGGATCTTGGACCTGGAACTGGACTTGAACTAAAGTCAACCTTGGATCCTGGACCTGAATTTTAGATCTGGACTTTTAACTCAGACTTCAAACCTAGACTTCGGATCTAAACTTTGATTACAACTACAGACTTTAAATTTTATCTGTTTTACTTTTATTTCATTTTTAATTTTTTATTTGCTTTTACACCTGGAGATTGGACTTGACCTGGATCTTGGACCTTGACGTGAATCTGAACCTTAGACTGAGACCTAGATTTTGGATGTCTGTTCCGGACTTACATTTGGATCTGGATCTTCAACCCGGAATTGGACTTAGGCCTCTAAAGTCAATCTTAGACCTTGGACTTAAACCCAGATCTGGACCTTAGAATAGGACCTGGACAAGAACCTGGATATAGTTCTGAATGTGGTTATTAGAATTTGGACTTGGACCTGGACCTCACACTTAGAACTTGTATTTGGATGTGCACCCTGAACTAGGATCTTGTACTTTGATTTTGTCCATGGATTTGGATATTGGACCTTGACTTAGAATTCAAAATGAACTTTGAATCTTGGAACTTGATCTGGATGTCGGGACTTGGACTCTATGGGAATCAGAACTTGACCTCGGACTTTCATTTTTCCTGTATCTTGGACCTTGACCTGGACCTGGACCTCAGACTTTGAAATATAAACTTTGCATCTTGGACTTTGTCTTGCACTTTTAGTCTGGAATTAAATTTTTACCTTGAGCCTACATCATTGACCTCACACTGTTACTCAGCTTTGAACCTGTAACTTGGACATGCAGTTTTTCTGGGTCTTGGAAGTGTACCTTGCACCTTTGACCTTGACCTTGATCTGGACTTCTGATCTAGACATGGCTGTTGGACTTGGACACTGAAACTTGGTTTTCCTAGTGGATATAACCTTAGAGCTAGAATTTGAATGTGGCCCTGTATCCTGGATTTGGACCACTAACCTCAGATGCTGACCTGAGGCTTATAACCTCTGTCATGGACCTAGACTTGACTTTGGATGTGGATATGGGTTATGAACATGTTATATTTATCCCTTTAATATGGATCTGGATGTGGGATATGGATGTGGACCTTGGACCTAGTCTTTGGAATAGTCTTTTTCTAGTTCCTTGGATCTTACCTTAGACCTGGGAATTGGACTTGGAGCTAGACATTGGCCTTGGACTTTGGCTCTGTATCTGGCTTTGAGCCTGGGACTTGCAGCATGGACTTCTGCACTGGAAGCTGGACCTCAATTCTGGACATTGGATTAAGGACTCTAATCTTAGACCTGGACTTCGACCTTAGATGTGGTCTTTGGAACTTGTATTTAGACCTTGGCCCCCGATTTTGGATCTTGCTTTAGCTTAGACATTAGGCTAGATCCTAGACTTAGAAATTGGATATAGACCTAGACCTCTGACTTGAACTTAGACTTGGACTTGGTACTAAGGTTTTGATTTTGATTCTGAGCTTGTACACTTACTTTCATTTAACTTGCAGTAAGACCATACTTTTGAGAACAGTGTATGAGACTAGTTTATTTACACATTTGGGAAAATGGGAAAATTATTTGTTCTCCCATACACTGCTCTGAATCATCTTAATCGGTTCTAACTTGCAATAAGAAAATATTTTTTTAAACAATGTGTGATAATGGCTTTTTTACACAAATACTACTTAGAAATACTTCTCTCTCTCTAACTTGCAATAAGAACTTTTGAGAATTCTAGATCTAAGGTCCATTTCTACTGTCCATCTCCAGGCCCCATATGAAGATCCACATCTAAGGTCCCGGCAAATTCATTTCCAAAGATCAAGTCCACGACTATAGATGAGGTCTGAGGTCAAGTCCAAGTACATTCAACAGTTAATATCCCAAAGAGAAAATCCACAAAAAACTAAAACCGCTTTCTCTGACAACTGTATTTTTCTTCTTAAGAGCAAATTGCCTTTCTGGGTCACTTTTAGTCAATTAGCCAATTTGAGAACAAAAAATATGACTCTATGTTCCACAGACTGTAATTTTTACTTTTATAACCCCTTCCTTTGTCCTTGTATACATGATTGATTTCCCTTGATGGCATGTAAATTTTCAGCTGTACTTCAACTAAACATCTCTAAGTTATTCTTTGACAGTTTGGGAGATAATACTAAGATATTGCCCTCTCTCAGAGCTGAGCAAATGATGAACCTGAATGTACACCTCATTGACCCTTTGACTCTTGCTTCACTTTTCTTTAACTTCTCTGGTAAGTCTGATAATCAAACTCTTTGTCTCTCAAATATTGAATATGGCCCTGCGTCACATCTGATTCTATTCTGATTCTGTTTTGCACATGGCCATTCCGTTTTTCTCTGGAAGTGGCAGAAAAGTGATTTGTTGTTATATTTTTTGACATTTTGTCTTGAGGATTATGCTATATTCTGCATTGGGGGCATTTGTCTATCATTGGGTCACAAAGCTTTGATTTAGATTGTTAGCAGGTCTCAGCCACAGTGTTGAGATGTCACTTGTGCACTTATACATCATAAACTATCTGTGTCTCTATCTGTCGTAGTTTGGGGTTCTGAGACAATGCTCGGGTTCAATAATTCACTACAGGGGCCCACAGAACTCAGCAATGCTGTTATATTCATTGTTATGGTTTGTTACAGTGAAAAGACACAGACTAATACCAGCCATGGGAACAGGCACATAAGGCAAGGTTCAGGAGAGACAAGACATGAAGCTTGTAGTCATCCTTCCAAGTTGGAATCATGTGGAAGTTCTTATTTTTCCCAGCAACAATGTGTGAAAATATGTGTAGAGTACTGCCAACACA